GTTGGGAGAGGTCTCATTTTAATCAGAAATGTGCGGGCTACAATCATGCCTCATTAAGAAAGGTTCGGGTTATTTTTTGGGGTTTCTGAAAAACTGGTTTTCTAGAAAACCAGGTCTTCGAAGGTCTAGCAGCAAAAACCATTGTCATATTCGGAATCAGCATAGTCGATAACCTATTCTCCACTAGGTTTCAAGAAAAAAGCGAGCGAACACTTAGGGCAGTTCCCTCGTTAGTGTTTGGTTCAAAAATGACACTGTTCAAAAGCTTAGGATTGAGCAATGACTAATTAATCGACCGTTACTTAGGGACGCTTATCCGATTTTGTATAGATGGAAAAACTAAGCTCTTAAACTACGATTAACAAACTGAGTGCGTGAACGAAACGAGATTGAAAAGATTGGGATTAAACTAAGTTAAAAGGTGTCGTGTGAACGTGACTTTAAGCTTTTTCTCATGTTAAACAGTAAGAAAGAATTTTGTTTCAAATAAATTACTTTGACTAAAGTATCGGCGTGTTTTCTAGAATTGAGACTGCCAGAAGGTGCAAACCAGAAATCTTACTTGAGCGAAGAAAGGTAAAAATTATTTTCGACGCGTTTAGTGATTTCTTTTTAATGTTTTCCACTTTCCGATGCAAGTAAGTAATTAATTAGTACTTAAGGAAACAGAATAGCTCGATATTTTATTTACATATTATTTATATCACCAAAGACACTAATAAACAACAAGTATATTCATGATGTGCACAATTTTTACGTATTTTATGTTTACTGACATATGATCTTGTGGCTGCTTTATAATAAGTGTTGAATGGTATATCGGTGGCCTCTACACGATGCCATTTGCCCACGTAAATATCAGCATCGAAAGCTAATTGACGACGTAAGGCAGGATGCTGCCCGTATCTTAGTTCAACCTGTAAGGAGAAAACGATCATTTTAAGTTGATTAAAAATGTTTCTTATGTTTCGGTTGTCTAATTATCTGATAAATACAATCTCAAAAGAATTTGCTTAAAAAGAGCAAATTCATGTTCAATGAAAAAATACAAGTATGGAATTAAACTACTATGCGTTTCGAAATACAACGGCCTCGGACATTTTTCGAATAACTTTTCACAAAAATGAGATAGAGACCTACGGTTTTCAGTTTTGAAAGCTAGATACATGACCGCATATTTCTGTAAGCAAAAGCGAATTTTGGAAAATCTTCTAAAGCGGATTTTTCAGAGAATCTTTGGAAGATCAGCTTGTGTTTTCCGAAATTCACATAGGAATGTACTGAATCTTTTCATGAATTGATAGCCTGGGGTGTTCTCTTCAAAATGGGAATAAAGTGAAACCTTGATTTTCTGCGGTTCGGGCGTTGTACTGAAGCTTTGAACTCGTTTTGATGTTTTTCAAGTGAATAGCGAATTTTTGAATATTAGCTGAAAACAGCCTGAACTTTCGTAAAACTGGCTTTTCGGTAAATTTTTAAAACTTTTTCTAGAAACAAATATTGCCACGAGACTCAGCATGGCCTTATTGATAATCCATCCGTCTTTAATGATACCAAGAGTCACCGAGTGCCAGTCCTGGGACTCGTCGGAAATTCGGTACAACGCCCGAGCCGCAGAAAATCAAGGTTTCACTTTATTCCCATTTTGTGAAGAGAACACCCCAGGCTATCAATCCATGAAAAAATTCAGTACATTCCTATGTGAATTTCGGAAAACACAAGCTGATCTTCCAAAGATCCTCTGAAAAATCCGCTTCAGGAGATTTTTCAAAATTCGCCTATAGGGCTGCAGAGACCGGTTTTCTGGAAAATCAGTTTTTCAGAAACTCTTAAAGATAACCAAAGCCTTTCATAATAAGGCATAATTATAGCCCACGCATTTCTGATTAAAATGAGACATCTCCCAGCTATACACGACCTTTCTTTACGATTATGGAACTTACATGAAAAGCCATAAATGTTGATTATCAGCCGGAAGCTACAGAAATAACAAGAAATTAATTTAGAGATTGTAAATTCCATAATTTTGCAAAGAAAGGGCGTGTATAGCTGGGATTTGTCCCATTTTTATGAGAAATACGAGGGCTATAATTATGCCTTATTAAGAAAAACTTCGGTTATTTTTTAGAGTTTCTGAAAAACTAGTTTTCCAGAAAAACGGTCTCTGCAGACTTACAGGCAACTGCCATGGTCATATTGGGAGTCATCATAGTCGCTAATCTATAATCCACTAGGTCTCATTGAAAAAACGATTTGACAATTAAATCGGTTCCCTCTTTAGACGAAGTAAATATCCTCCTTTTCTATATGTTCACCGGTAAGAACTATCAAAGAATTGATCTTTGCAGTGAAAAGCGAAACACCAGTTTTGTTTGTTATATGAGATATTATGTAACGATAATAATGATAACAATATTTGCAATTAGGTAATTTATTTCGTTACAGGTAGTGAACAGATAATCCGACAACTGAAAAGCATACCGCCTAAAAGTAATAACTTACACCACATCGTTTCAAAAATAAATAGTTTTGTCATGAACATGGTAATTTACCAGAAACGAGAGCGGTTGGTAAACGACCACCTTTAAGAGTTTTTGACAAAACAAGTTGACCAATTGCTGTTATTTCACGGATCATTCGTTTGTTTATAGTTGTTTCTAAATTTGGTATTCGACGATGTTGACTCGATGCACATGTTTCAATTTGACCATGGTGCAATTGAAAATAATAACCATTTTGTTTGGTAGCAGAACGCACCATCACCGTTACTAGCGAGAAACTGAAAGAAAAACCTAAGTAAAAGGCTGAAACTGACTTCTTTTTTTCGCAAGTCCGCTGATGTATAAGACTTTTTAGAATGAAAAAAACGCACATATTCATGACAACCTGTAACACTGGGCCGATTTCTCAAACGTTTATTGTTAGATGAATGATTGCTTATTTGCTTCAGTCATTACAAGTATGTGCACGATACACAAGGTTGTAAGATGCCGGTAACTCAAAATTACAGCAGGAAATTTCCGTCTGCTTTTCTAGCATGGTCGGATAGAGCTCATCGAGGTGCGAATATTTTTATTATACTACCTTTAACAAGAAAGTCAAGATTCTAACATTTTCTCAAGCCGAGATATATACGAAATGAACATTCAGTAGCAAAATCACGCAGGTCTTTAATTTTAACCAACTAGAAAAATCATCAGAACAAGTCAATAGGGACTTGTTGATAAAGCTTTTGTAGAGCATCCGACGGTGCACCTTTTGAAAAAAAATCAAGGTGTTATCATTTTCCCAAGTCGAGATATTTGCAATATAAAAAAAATATTCTTATTATGTTAAATACGGTGGGGCATAGCACCATCATGTGATCTATTCATTTTGAGTATAGGAGACATCATCAGAACAAGTCAATAGGAATTTGTTATTACTGTTTTGTAGAGATTTTCATAGCGCATCTTTTAAAAAGAAAATCAAGATTCTAACATTTGTCTGTGGTCAGATATTTCCAAAATACTAGATGTTGCAATCATGTGGTTGCTACATGGAATGAGAGTAAATTGAGCTGCAGTTCGCTCATCACTAGCTATAGTAAAACCATTATAACCAACAGTGCAAGTGTAATGGCTTTCTAAGCATAAGACGAACACTTCTTTTTTTTTCTGATTTTTCTTTCTCTTGTTATGTTTTACGTTTATATGTTTGCATGTGTGTGTTTCTGTGTACAGGGTGCCACATAACCTTTGCCTCCCCCCTTCTACAACCTAAAGGACAGATAATATCACAAATTATTTATACCAGGTTAAAGCCCATGAAAAACTGGATTTATGAATATAATTGGTATTCCGTATGATGCTTATTGGCTGTAGAATTATGGAAGTTTCTATCGCGTGTGTCAAGTCTAGTATAGTGGTGCGGCAGTTAAACTCCCATAACTTCGTCAGAACAAAGCTTTTTTGATTGGATCTGCTTTGTTTTGATCAGAAATGATTGCTCTTCACTTCCTAACTGCAAAATCAAAACTTCGAACACGTTTTCCGTTTCCTGCTTGAGCACATTGTTGAAAACGTGGAGAAATTTTTGAAACTTCGGTCTCCAGCACATCATCTGCTTTAAAACTTTTTGTTTACAGAACCACGAGAAAGAGCATATTCAAAAGTACAAAAGAACCTAGTGCTCACTTTTGCTACACTTTTTACGGAAATGATAGCAGAAGAAAAAGGTTCAAGCCGAAAAAAATACCAAATATATGAAGTTTTCAGTTTTTTCGCCCTTCGTATAGTTTACGTAGTTCTCTTGATTGAAGTTCTAAAACTAAAGTTTAGGTATGGCTCTTTGTAGAGCATCTTTTAAAAAAACACTAATCTTAGGATCCTAAAGAAACACGAGAAAAATAGAAAATACTAAGAAGCTCATTCATTATGACGCACTCGATAGAAACTTCCATAATTCTACAGCCAATAAGCATCATACGGAATATCAATTACGCTCATAAATTCAGTTTTTCATGGGCTTTAATCTGGTATAAATACTTTGTGATATTATCTGTCCTTTAGGTTGTAGAAGGGGGGAGGCAAAGGTTATGTGACACCCTGTATGTAGTCAGTACATTCTGCTTTTATTTAAGTTACAACCCCGAGCTTTCCTGATGCGATAACCTTCATACAGTGACCGTTTTCGCTGACCTACATGTACTCGTTATCTACAGGTTTTACTGTAAATTTAGTATCAGCATCATTTTACCGTTTGAATGATCGAATGCTTTTGTTAAACCTTTTCGAGGAAAACTCTGTCCCATTTCAAACAGCACACAACGGACTTTTTTAATTAAAAGTTGACCATAATAAAAATAATAGCTAAACATAGACAAAATATATTCGAATTGTCCTTTTATGTTTTGATTCTTTGTTTGAACCCTATTTTACCTTTTTTCAGATTTTGGATCATCAATTATAATACGTTCTAAATACCATTCTCGATTACGATCAACACTAATTTTTCTCAGTTCTCCAAGATGAACTGTTTTAAATTTAAATGTGATTTCCTACAAAAAAATGTTAAAAAACAAAATGCACCATGACACATCTAAGTTATTTTCTTGTAAGGTTTTATGACTAACAAAAACTTGATTTTTCAACGCCTCAGATTATTTCGCCTTTTTCTGAAACAGATTTTTCCGTTTGTTATTGTTCGTTTAGATTTTTCGGCCATTTTACAAGCTAGAAATTTCGGGAAGACCTTAAGTTGAAGAGAAAATGACGTTCTACAACTTGCCAGAGCCGGATTTTTCATTTTTAACTTGCTTGAAAAAACTGAATTGTTTTTAGTAAGAGTACCCCTATTCTTTTGGACCTTTTTTAGAGAAGCTTTTATCAGAAGTAAAGAAACAAAATTTCGAAAAATTGGGCTGTGTTAAGTTGTAGCGGTAGGTTTTAGCTACATTTACGCATAAACTCGAAATCTGTATTCTGAGAGTTGGAGGAGAAATCCTTAAAATGTGGAAACCTATTTTTTGACCCTTGATGCTATGATAACTCTTGAACACTTCAATATTTCGGGCTGAAATTTTTACTATGAACCTGACACTCGAACATATACTTCCTGAAAGCCTCAGTCGGATCGGTTGTCCTGTGGCAAAAATAGATTTCTGAGTAGGGGGGCCTTAAATAAACATTTCAGTAAGTATCAAATATGCAAGTCAAACTTCTCTTACTTCCTCATTTTCTTTAGCACTACATGGATCGTGCAACTCTAATTTATACTCGTCATATTCACCATGTAAAATTATTGTCATTTTTTCTGGATCAGACGTTCCTGTACTAGATTTCTCGTCGACAACAGAAGGATATATATGGACCGTGTATTCAACTTTGAAAGAAAAAATTAGAAATTTGAGAGTAGAGGGTGACAATGGAGTAGAACTTAGTTGTTCTTTCCATCTTTTATTACGTACGTGGTGCATCATCGATACTATCTTCATTAATGACTGAAAAAATGTTAATCAAATTACAATGCTTACTTAAGATAAATGAACTCTGAATACTCAAGGGCACCACTTACATACTATGCACAATATCAGTTCTCTGTGAACTCAAATATTTTGGTCACATTTTCAATTCGCAGCGAATTATATTCTATATATATGTACCAGGTTATTCGAACTGAATAACAGCGAACTGAAATTGTGCACGGCCTCATCACTTACGCGGATCACGAATGACGGGAAATTCAGCTGTTGATATTTTAACTCTTTTCAATCCTAACATTATCCAATCTAAACATTTAACGATCTGAAAATAAATACGAGAGGGATAAATATGTTGTTATTGAAATGGTACAACTCAGGTCACTAGCCCGATCGCAGTCAACCCGACGTAAAAACCTTGCTAAAACATTAACATTTTGTTTTTCACAGCTGAACCTCCGTACTACGATTATTGTGACCAAGAACAAGACAGCCAGGATTGATTCTAATAGAAAATTTTTGAACAATTCAAAGGACTGGGGTCGCTAAGAGGCAAAATCGGCCTTCTCTCAAATCAAGCTCATATTCCCAAGTCTGATGTAATTTCCTCCGTGATTAAAACTAGCACCTCAAAAAATCCATTTTCAGCCCCCCTGAAAATAATTCCACATCCAAACTTTTTTCCCTTTAAATGAACTTTATTTAGAATATTTTCCCCATTTCCTCTCTTTACCCAAAGCAAACCTCAACTACTGTACATCACTCGATAGAGAATTTCGTGGGCTACAAAATGATATATAGAATATTGAGAACAAATGGGATCTGGGCGTCCTAACACTAGAAATAGTAGCCCCGACCTCCACAAATCCATAGGTCAACAGCGTTCATCGCTTATATTGTCCAGCCAGTTTGTCGTTAACCACTTCTCTTTATATATCGTCCGATAGAGAATTTCACGGGCTTCAAAATGAGCTATAAATAGGCTTTTCAAAAATATTCCCACATGGATCAGCAGTCGAAATACTCGACCGATATAATGATTTTCACCTATCATAGTGTTTTAAACATTGATTTAGTCATTTTTCTGTCATAATAAAAAATGATGTAGTTTTCAAAAGCATACCATTGGGGAGCCCTTGAAATTCTCTACAAAGTGAGCTAGGGAGAATACCCAGACAAATGCGGTCAGTCATTAAAGATATGAAAAAGAAGCGTTTGGATGTTATCTATGCAGTCAGTGTGTCATAAGCTCAATAACTTCTTTTTTTCTGTACTTTTATTAAAAGCTGGATCCAATCTAAATACTGTTTTGAGTAGCCCGAAGATTTTTCTATCAGATGAGGTTCATATCGCCGTTTCATGAGGGAAGTTGATAACAGGGTTTCTGGAAAACCAAGTCCTTGGTTTTTGGTCAGAAAGTTTTTAAACTCATATAGTCTGATAGAGCATAGAATTATGAGGAAAACAAGCTATCTCCCGTAACGCACACATATCTGTGTAACGCTTTTTAAGCAGAGCGTTTAGGTAATTTTCACGCCATTTGCAGCCATTTGTAAGCAGTTGCGTGAAAACGCGTTACACACAACCGGCAGATAGCTTGTTTTCCTCATAATTATATGCTCTATCAGACTATATGGGTTTCAAAATTTTCTGATCAAAAACCAAGGACTTGGTTTTCCAGAAACCCTGTTATCAACTTTCCTCATTAAACGGCGAATTTCAAGGGCTCCCCAATGGTATGCTTTTGAAAACTACATCATTTTTTATTATGACAGAAAAATGACTAAATCAATGTTTAAAACACTATGATAGGTGAAAATCATTATAT